TGAATTTAAACTGTATGTTGTGTGTGTGCACAAGTCTAATACCTGCTTGAGATCACTAGGTGGTATTCCAATTTCACAATTGTATGCGGTCACATATGTATTTAATAGTTTCAGCAATAGAAACTTTTGTGAAGAGATAACTGACATCGAGGGATATCATTCGTAATCCGTTTACGTTGGAATTTTTGGTTCTGTTCACTAAGTCATTTGAATCCTGTAATTTGGTATTGGTGAGTTTTGCTCTCACGGATTCCATGATTACTATCAGCCACTTAGCCATGGCATGGTAAGGCTACTTACACATGTCTAGGATCGGTCAGTGAGTCACTGCATCTTTGTGTCTTTGGTAAGCCATAGTCTCCCGGGTGTTTATCGTTCCTGTTGGTCGTATTTCTTCATATCTGACCGCGTCCATTAAATCCCTCTGCTCCAGGCACCGGAGTTTTTTCGACAGTGATTTTCCCAGTTTTTCTGTTTTATCTTTCTCTCCAACCTTTTTTCTGAAATTTCCAGAATCTTTCTAGAGTGCTCTAGATTTTTTTGTGCAATCAATCAAGGACAAATGCGTGGTACGCAAACATCAAGCATTACATAAACTGGTTGTTTCTAATTACACACTAGTGAGTTCCCAATCAACCTCGATAAATATGTTGATAATTTTTAATCTGTAAGATTGGATAAGAAGTTGCTTGAAATGCTTTCACTTGGATCCAAATTTTGTTGTCCAGCGAGAAAAACTAAACATTTAGTTCGCTAAAGGTTTTTGCATTATCTCTGATTTAGTGGCTTGTAGATGAATGTGGTTTTCTAGGCCTTCGAGGTGACGCCTAACCTGGAGCGGCGTTTCACGGTTTTTGGACACCTGCGATCAATCCAATTTCAAAGGTGATATCATTGACATGCTTACATGTCACTAAATCTGCTTACACACCTTAGGCAGATCGCACCAGCTAATCCGAGATAGCGCATTCCAGACAGAAGTAGAATGATGCAAGCAATACTGGAATGCGATTGGTAGAAGCCTGGATAACCAGTGATCTTCTTTTGTACATATTATTTAATCGCCCTCATTTCTTCCAATAAACGAACTAAGAACTAATATTCCTGTGATTTTTTCCTTGTTTCTCATTTACGTGGAACATTGTGTGCTAGTGCTCTTGTGGTCCAGTGCTTCCGTGATCCAGTCCGTAATAGATAACCGTTGATTGATAATGAATGCTTCCTTTATTATCGTTAGTATCATTATTATCATTATTTTTATTAGATCGTTTCTACTGTGGTGGTTTCAATCATTAAATGTATAACGTGACGAGCTGGGTGTTCCGCGAGGGCATTTGTTGCCACTGGAGTCCCTATGTAGTTAGAATGAACAGTTCCGAGTAGCTCTCCGTAGATATTGCACTGGTGAGTAAGGGAGAATGTCTAAATTATGTGAAAGATGACGGATACTATCCTGATGCTAGCTTTTCATCGAAGAACCCAACCAGATAGAACTGATAGTGGTCATCGACTTCGTTTCAATGCATATCAAATGCATTTGGAGCTTTCTAGTCCGTAGTTGACCCAAATTTCATGACTTTTGTTCTCTATGTACACATCGACTTATGTTTCATCACTGTGACGAACAATTTCTGTATTTGGCAAGATGTAGCCATTTTTAGTTTAAGAAAGGAAACAATTTTCGCGTGATCCACCACGAACTCTGGATATCTTTAACTTTAAAACCCATCAATAATATAATTGAGGGCATGCTAAAATTGAAATATAATATCATTTCTGTTCTCCTTTTGCTAGTTGTTCTATTATATTTTTGATTTCGAATAGTTGGTTTTATGCCTTAACCATTTTTCTATTCACGGAAAATACTTACTACAAATCTTCCGGTCTTGACTAAGTCATGAGATTCATTTAGAGGGACTTCAGCCAAAAAATAAATTCAGTTTCTTTTCCATACTGTACTCCATACGATTTCCTTTAGTTTCATCAGTTTATCCCTTTGGTAGCATGTATTCCTACAAATCGCCTTTCAGGTGAGGCGTCTCGAATGACCCGATATTTACAGAATAGGATTATGCATTTTCCCAGATGAGAATTGTGCTTTCCATCAATGAAACAAAGTAAAACAAACACGCGCTCACACAGGAAATAAAAGAAATAAAAGAGTGCATATCAGAGAGTTGTACGAAAACCGGGATATATGCCACTAACTGCAGTACAATCAGTGATCTATCAAACCCAATTACGGCACGCCTATTTTCAGACTACAGATTTTTTCCCGAGCCCACTTGATGTTTATGATTGTTTCTGTCGGGTGAATTTTCGATTGATGAACACTCTTTGATTGGTACACTCATTTCTTCACTCTTAGTCGTGCAATAGAGCCCACTGCTAACACAAACGAACGTGCTAAAAGATCGATGGATCTTTGTATGGATCGATGATTTCAGGAACAACAGTAAGTAACCTGACAGGAATAAGGAAGTAGCTAAAAGCCCATCAGTCACCATACGCTCGAACCTTGTTTTTCTACAATCGGTCAACCCAAGTGTCCTCAGGAACTTTCTTTCTGGGATGATTGATGATTGTGTGATTGTTCTTAGTGTTGGAAAGGAACAGCACAATCGCGTTTATATGTTTTAACCCTTAACTGAATTGGACGTCTCATTGCTATCAAGTTTCACTCAGTCTGACTTTTTCCTTTTTCCTGTGACTGTTCTGACTCCTCTTCCATAATGAAAGTCCTTCGAAGTTATCTTGTATAGTCGCAAACCTAAAATTTTTCGTGATTTGTGAGACGCTGGTGGTTAGGGCGTAAACACAGTCTTTATGTGCACACCTTCTGAGACGGATAAAAAAGGAGAAATCGAAAACTTGTATGTAAATCTGTCTAGACACCTGCAGCTTTCTTCACCAATCCCTAGGTAAAGCGAAATGCGTTTACTTTACTGGGTTTCCGTGGGCGGTTCTCAGTTGACAGTCAGTCGGTACATTCGGTACATGTCACCACCTAACTGGTGCTGATTGGTCTGCCGTTTGTCACAGAAGGCTGCTACGAATGGCCTTTTACCGTCTTCTATTTAACCTTATCATGATTAAATCACGACTGTTTCTCCTGTGCAGAACAAGCACGGTCAAGTTGCTTTGGAAGATTAAATACCATAAAAAAGCCATCTTCAAGTGGACGATGCACTGGTATTGCCGAGCAATGAGGTGGTGTAGCGTGGTGCGATAAAGCAAAGTTAGTGTTGTTATTCAAGAGGTTAAAGTTTGACATCAGTTCTCATTGAGGCTTCAGCTGCCTACCCAATATTCTTGATACTTCCAACCCATCACGATTTAGTCAATGTAAACCCCCACGCTTTTCCTATCGAATCAAATAGCTCCCCCAAAAACCTTAACTGAACTCCCGTCAGTTTACATTGTCGATGCATGTAGCTCATTGACCTCCGGAGTTTATTTATTTACTCGTCACTGGATTCTTGTACCATGTCGCTATTCAATATTCCCCTGTTACGTTCGACACCACTGATAGCAAAGCATCAATCATTTGAAGACATTCTTTCGATAGTAGTCGATCTTTCAAAGTAACTTTACCGGTCATCGTGAATTTAGATCACATTTATTCAATACTGGTCTTCGCGTATGTTCCTTACTGGGGGAAAGACAACTTCCTGATAATGAGGTTAAAAAGCAATTTATTCGTGAAAACTGAAATAGCTTCCTTAGCATCTTTTTGCCTACCGAGAAAGATTGATCACCACCAGATACACGATCACATGTATCAAATGTGAATGCACTTTGTTTTACTTTGGGATTGGTGAGTACAGTTTGGGTTGGTTAGACAGAAATAGGTTTATCATTTTTCTGCGAAAGTTGGACCTTACTTCAGCGATTTACCGTTCACGAATAATTATGTACCAATAAAGCTCACTTAGTCACATAGTTGTAATAAACTTTGAGTCTGTAAGAACTGTTCACTGAATGTACCTTAATCTTAGCAGCTCGTCTTAAAACCGGCATTGGAAGTTCTCAATTAATATCAAAACAGTATTTTCGTGTACCTCGTTTCTGTCTGCACGTGAGTGACTCTCATCAGACCAGTATTTTCCCCCTTCTGACATACCATGAGAGCTGTGGTCTGTCAAACAAATACGAAGAGAACTGGAACAAGTTCCACAATAGGACAGGTAGTTGTATTTAACTGCCACTACAATGTGACACCATTGGAGTAAGTCACTTGTAGAGATGTACGGTGCATTTGACCAGTATTCTCAAATGCTAGCATAAAGTGGGACGGTGGGGGGTTGAAAGAGGGTGGGGATCGAATTGTCCGAGAATGTGTGTGAATATAGGTTGATGTGTTTACGTAATCTCCTTCCAGTGTGAGATAGACTTTTGACTGACCAAAATTCCCTAGATTCTCACTCATTCTTCCATGTTCTTCACATGTGTCTGACGACATAAAGTTATGTATTGTATGCGGGTATTTATCCCTTAATAATGAACGTGTTATCCACGAGCATGCATTATTGACTTTTTTTATTATGAACGAATGTATCTTGCTCTGTTGTTGTCCAGTACAGGATGAGAAAAGTTGTGCTCATTTTTTTCCATAAACGTTCTTGTAGAGATTCCTTTATGATCGTACAACAGTGTGGTATCACACGTGTGACTGAATTACTGCACAGACCAATTTCGTAGGTGATATGTAAACTGTGCTGACTGGCTGACTCGCTACGCTTTAAATGAGTCGGAACGTGCAACCGAATATTTCGGATAGATAGGCAGATCCAGTATCGAAATATTTGATTGAATAAGTTGTCCATTTTGAAAAAGTGATACAGTTCATAGGATGAACATAAATGATGATGATCAATGTGGTCCAGATTATTTTCTGTTGTTTAACGAGCTTTTTGCAGTTAGCTCTTCCAGTATAAAACGGACGATGCAAAGAGATGACGAAATGTTTGTTTACTACCTTGCTTAACTGTAACGAACACTCAATGCGATATTCGATAACCGGAGAAGTGACCAGTGTGGACCGGACGATGAAAATCGCCAGATGCGCCAGCTGGTCCCTGACATTCCAACTCCACGGCAACAGATGACTGGGACGATAATTCTTTACCATCTCCACTTGTACTGGTCTCCAATTGGGCATTAGACGTATTATTTGTATACAACCAAGAGCCGTAGTCTAGTCTAGCACTTCCACCACGTGATGTTCCTAAGTCAGTGGACAATACCGAGTTACGAGTTCCTGTATTCGTGTTTCCGTTGGAATTCAAATTCGACGTTGAATCAGCACTATCTTCAATATTGGATGGCAAACGCTCGTTGGACCCGGTGCCGTTAGAAGGATTTTGTACTGGCGATTGGCTTCCATTAGCTTGCGTGCGATTTGCTGAGGAAGGGGATGAAGAACCATACGAGTTAATTCTTTGAGAGAGTCTAGAGTAGGAAGTGGACAGAATGGACGAAGAGGATTCTTCTGCTTTCGCGGTTTCCGTAGCTGATGTTTTGTTCAACACACCAGGAAAATTTGATGTTTGCGGGACCGGTCGATTCATATTTGATAAACTTGAATTACTGGGCCTTCTGGTAATAAATGAACTCGCCTTTCCCATGGAATTATCGTAACCTGTCAAATTGTCATCTATTAGTTCTAGTGGCAAATTCCAAGTAGGGGAGTGAATAATCATATTGTTTGAAACCGGATAATTTGTCATACTTGTTGTCATTCCGGCCCACCTTGTTCCACTCATGGTTGCGTTGATTGTTCCCCTGTTCCACGATGGTAAAGCTGAACTGTTTCCCGAATTTGATGCCGCCGAATGCCCATTTGTGGTCAGTTGCCACGCTTTTATTTGATCTCCTACCTCATCTCCTGAACCGTTGGCATCTTTGAGCAATATATTGGATGAGTGCTGGGACTTTCCACCTCGATAAGACGGATCTGCATTTAATTCGGACCTCGAATATGCTGTTGTTGACGGTTCGTTCTGGGAGCTCGAGCCGTCCAAACTGTCTCCGGAAGCTTTGGCAGAGCCCATATTAGTCGAATCCACAGGAGTCTCTTTGGTTGGACAAGATGATTCAGATGCTAGTGTGTGTATATTTCTAGTACTGCCAGGATTGAAAGAATTGGATAGTTTTAAAGAGGATGTTGTGGTACTGGAGGTGGCTGGAACTTTCTGAGAAATCATTGCAACTCCGGAATGCCATGACTGTCCCTGACCCGACTGACCAGATGATGAGACACCCCAACCAACAGGAATAGGAGAGTACAACAGATTTGTCGGGGAGTGATTCCACATAGCTTGTCCGAGATTAAGAGTGGAAGGAGCTGATTGCAATACGGCACCAGATGGATAGCCAGATGCATTCGGAGTTGGCATTAAGATTGTAGTAGCTGAATAGCTTGGAGGTTTGCTGGTTGCTGTGTGAGGAACCCCGGTGCTGCCATCCAATTTTATCTCTGTTGTTGATGGACTATTAGCCCGGGAATTGACAGTGGCATTTGCACTCGTTGCCGTACCCTGTAGCGTCAACATACCAACATCAATACCTCCAGTTTGACCATTGGACAAATTACACGAGGTCAAACCATTACTGATAAGACTGGAACCATTAGGATTAGTGGTACCCAACGGAAAATGCGATGGTGAACCAGTCTGATCTGGCTGCAACTGGATGGTAGTATACTGTGGACAGACAGTATAATATGAAGTTAACATTGATCCCGTCCCGGTAGCATTTGGACCCGTAGCACCTGGTTGCATCGTTGTTGCAGTCGTGCCGACGTGTGGAGCCACGGATGGACTAAACTGAGAACAGGAAAGTAAACTGGGTTGTGCCCCGATTTGCGATGGGCATATAGCCAAATGTGTAGCCGCGTGGAGATTAGACGTCGACCAACCTCCCAATGCCGTTTTATCCGCACTGACTAAAGTGCCCACATTTCCTGCTGCTGCATGATGAGCCGGTACAAATGGACTTGGAGGAACAAATGAACAGGGGAATGGAGCATAGACTGAGGTAGTACTTGGTGGAAAACTGACTAGCCCATTTGACTGATGCAACTGACCGTTGGATAAGATAAATGGCATTGACTGTTTGCTTGTAGCATATGAAGTAGTGGCAGATCCTGAAGGTAGGATCGATTCGGCCGGAGTTCGTACAGTATGCTGTGTTGGGGACATTGGTTGTAAATAAGCGGCAGATGGATACAAACTGTCCGTTAGCATAGTGCTCCCGTAAGCTGGATGATGTTGATGCTCATACGCAAGTGGGGGGTTTGTACGTGCTTGTCCTAATAAACTGTGCTGTGCACAAGATAAATTTGGTGTTTGAGGTGATAAATAAGCATGATGCGAACCATATGTAACCGCAGAACTAAGCCCGTTCATACTTCCAGGTACCATTGCTCCAGGATCAGCACCGACTTCATATGTGTGCGCACAAGCCGACTCTCCGACAGCATTACCATTTAATCCAGTTCCGGGAGCAACGCAAGGAACCGAACCTATTTTACGACCAAAATTAGGTGGCTCCATAGCTTTAATTTCCACCTGCTTGTTATTCATAGTTACGTAATGTAACCCAATTAGACGTTTAACCACCGCTTCATCCTCAAAACCAACAAATGCAAAACCACGATGCCGTTGTTTGTTCGAATCCATCATTAGGTTGACATCAGTCACGCGTCCGAATTGTTTGAAATAATTTTTAATAGATTCCACATCCTGATCTAATCCAATACCACCAACGAAAATTTTCAAACTTCTCCGATTCCTCCCTTTCATGTTTACGTTGCACTGCTTTGCATCCACCTCTTTTCCATCCAGTATATGCGGTTTAGCCTCCAATGCCAATGTAACTGAATCAGACTCGTGAAATTTCACATAACCAAATCCTCGGGATCGACCAGTCTTATTGTCCATCATGACCACCGCATCGTCCACCTCCCCGAACCGGGAAAAGTATAGGCGTAGACTGCCATTATTTGTGGCCTGGGACAATCCACCAACAAACAATTTACCGATCTCATTTCCTTCGGCGTCCGTCATCGATGGAAACAAAACAAGAAACTGCTTAGCGTAATACGTATGAGAGTGACATAAATAGTGCGTTGCAAAGCACGCAATTAAAAAGGAGACCAGTACACACGAAGCCTAATGTGTGTCTCGTAGACCAAATCCGGTTCGAAGCATTAGGCACAAAAAAATCAATCGAACAACAATTCAAACAGTCAGCTGATCGAACGAGGTCATTTGTACATGAACCAGCCATCCGGATGGATACAGCGTCCAATGGTTTTCATAGCCAAATAGCAAACATATTATTTTCTTCCCTTTCATTTACGAATACGGTGTGCACTTTGATCCACTAAATAACTGTTAATGCAAATGTCCATCGTCTTGGCAAATGAACAACTGAAGTCTACTATAAGAAACATTATTTGACGTCCAAGTTTGAAAGGCTTAAACTAAATGGGGTCTAGTTATACATAAATATTAGATACTCTTTTGTTTTTAAAACCATGTGAAAAGTATAAATTAACTCAAAGTATTATATTCCATAATGCTAACAGTTGGTTTGAGGACTTTTGAGCTTGGTGTTTCATTTTTTTCACAAAAAGACCGAAATTTTACTGTGATTAATTGAACGTTTCACCTCCTGGTAGAGACGAAGTTCAAAACCAGACTATTTTTATAATAGTGTACATGCCTAATCATTCAGGGTAATACACATTAGTTGATGTTTATCTGAACAAATTTGACGCCGCCCAAATGTAAGCTAGTTGGTGTTTTCATAATGCTCCAATCTCCGCCGTCAGGGGTTCAGTATTTAGGCAATGGTTGGAACGACACATACAATGCTGATGAGCAGTAAAAGAGAGTGAAAATCGACGGCATAGTTCCGAGCATGAACTGAAGTTTGAACTATCAATCCAAATAATCAACTGTACGAGATAGGAGAAGAATGGCTGACCCATTTAGTAAAAAATAGTTTATTCTAAACAAATGAAGGCTGCATTAGTCTAGGATTGTACTGTTCTTCCATGATGACAGCTAACCAAGGCTGATTGGAACCAAAGTATGCTAAAGCTAAGTAAGATCGTAAGAGGGTGATTAGCCAGTCAGAATCAATTAAAAATAAAGAACTGCTGTTAGCTCTCATGAGACCGGGTGTCCCAGAAGGTTGTGAAACATTGACGGCTATTACTGGGAACGCACCCTATCTGTGTATGACACATGTTATCAGAATGAAGGTTATTTGACATTATCGTTTTCGTCATCTACAAACTTCTCTGTGAGAAAACTTATAAAAATTTCAGTACATATTTATTTCACCTACTTTCTGATGTATTCTGTGCATAAACGGGCACGTAAAAAGTTATCAAATGAAAACAGAAAATATATTGTGTTTAACCTAATTGCAAAATTACTGAAAAATTTGGAGTGCAAAGCTTTATGATAATCTAAGTCCTAAAAATCATAACATTTTAGTTGTAGCGGCTCGATTTTACCTTTAAAGCAGCAAAATGGAGACATTTTGCTGTAAAATGCTTGTTTCATTTTAGCGTTGACTATCATGTGTTCCCATACGCCCCCCCCCTCATCAGTACGAATTTCGTTATATTTTCAGGGTGATTAACCTTCGGTAAATTTCCTATTGTAGATTGACCGAAACAAGTCAAGATCCTCCAAAGACGCTCCTTTCATTGAGAGGTATTTATATGAGATCGCGAACTAAGGTTCTATGCGTTAGTTGCTCTTCTCACACAGCAAAGGCCTGTTGAGTTGCAAAATATTTTGTTTGGGGCTTAACCAGCTATAGCAAGAGCAAAACCTGTATTGGGCACATTCAGATCATTTCGTTGATCGCATAAATGGAGGAGTGTGTGTGAACTGTAGTGTGTACGATTGTGAAATAAAAGCAAAATGATATTTGTTCATTGAATACTCTAACTGTGATGTTTTGAAAATGCAGTGGTGAACAAATCCTGCTATTGAAAACTTCCTCCTCCCGAAAACGGCGTTGCAAACGTAATTTGAAATTAAGGAAAAGATGAGCGTGACGATTTGATTCAAGGAAATTCATTGCATGATAGTAATGTTATAATGCGGGGTTTAAAAACTAAAGCGAATGAAGTTTTGTTTTTGGTCTGTAATTTGGAAAACAGTTAGTTGATGCAACGTAGCGGCTCTTCTCAAGCCCGACAACAAAAGTACTGTCCTTTAGTTATCACGACGCACACTACAACATTGCTAAAGCATTTGAAATACAATTCAGCGTCATTAGTACTTCTGACCGCGTATAAGCCTGCATTCAAAAGCTCGTGAATGCATGGAAAAAAGCGTAATCCGAAGCATTGTAGTTTTCTCAGTAGCTGGTCAAATGAGGAATTTCCCCTGAAAAATATCACCTATGTCGTTGGTATTGTGAAAGGGGTGAAAACGCACGTCTTCCTTTCTAAGTTAAGTGTGAGAAACAAATAGTCCAGGTTACTCCTGATTACTATCGTTATACTACGAGATTTGGTCAGCTCACTTCACTAAAATATATGACAGATATTCAAATAGTAGAATCTATTACAATTTTACTGCAACAGAAATTAAAATCCATTTATTGCACGTAAGCCCCGTGAAAACTCCTGTTTTGAATAATTTTCTCATCGTTACTCATGCAATAGTTTAGAGGACGTTGCATTTTTTAAATCATTTTTTTTTGCCACTCAGCAAGAAAACAAGTCAATCAAGAGTGGTTTTCAATATCACAGTAATCCAATGTAGTAATCTAAACAGATGTGAATCTAAAGTCAAGAAGCACAGTTATGATACAATCGCTGGATTACACTGGTACTCGTCTTGCGAAACGTACCGTCAGTGGGATGCAAGCAAAAGATTAAGGGAAATCAATGGGATTATATAATAGATACAAAAACATCATTGGTTAAAAATGTCTTATCCGAGCACCACTCTTATTGTCGTCACAGAACTCCTGTTGGAACTGCATGACCTTCCATTAGTCGAGAGTGCAGGCACCTGAGTTATTGTCCCAAAACTTTAACAAATAACCCCTTGGTTGGAGGCTTCTATCACCCCAAATTTCTTCCCACAAAAGGGCCTCATCGATTTGGCTTGCCCTCCTCCTTGGTCTTCACAGCGGCCTGACCAAATTATGCAGTATGTATGTAAGTTGCTGTCCGCAGGCTGTTTCCTCGGAAGTAAACAACATCGTTCGAATCAACAAATTGCAACGAGAATCATAAATTTCGCTCTTGGAACAGTTTTGCCGGGATATCTTGGGTGCTCGCGTGCATCAGATTCCTTAACTACAGCAGAAAATTGTCAAAGAGTACCTCCAACTCCAACGCTGTTTTCGGGCTCTTGGATATAATGAAACTTTCACCGTTCTCACGGAGTTTTTCACAGTGCCATTTGAGCACGACCGACGTGGAGTTGTGCGCAACTATTAGCTTCCAATCCGGAAGGTTAAAAGGTTGCCTCTGACATTATTGGAACATTTCACCAATAGATATGAACAGTCGGCCAACTGTGGGTAAGCAGTGACAGAGATCAGCTTAACTCGCGCGTGGTAAATGGGCCCGGGATAGATTGAATGATATTTACAGGAAGGAAATGGATTTGAATGAGGCAGTTTGCAGCTAATCTCAGCATTGCTGATACTTCTTCCACTAGTAGCATTTGATGACCGTAATGTCAATAAGTTGCGCAGAGGTTGGACAAAAAGATCGTAGTATGTTAATAGAAACGAACAGCCCACTACTTCCCCCGCCCACAATGAACTTATATTGCAAACCATATTATAGCACCACATCTTTGTATGTGAACTGTTTATACTCACTCTGGATTCTCAGGCTAAACACAGGACTGCTTGTCTTTTACCCAACCAGTGACTTTGTTAGGTTACAGCGGAATAGTTGGCACACCCTCCGCATAGACCAAGTATTTCTGTATCCGTGGAATTTTGCGTTTGGGAGAAGGCACATGGAGAGCAAATTGGAAGCAACGCACCACAGGATGATCTCTCTACGACTTCGGTTCACCTTTGGGCACTGGCTGAGGGATTGATTTATGGGCAAATGTAGGATTAGAGTACCAGATTCACTGGACGTTGCCTGCATCAGATTGTCATGGGGTTCACAATTTCACATGTTACTTCGAACGTGATATTTTTCACCTTGAGCAATTTCCGTTGTTGCGTCAAACTGTTGATACCAGCCACCAGGTGATCATACAATTTATCTTTAAAAAGATCACCATAATTACATCATGACTCACACCTGAACACATTGGAGGACAAAATAACGATACGACATGCTCTCGGCACGCAACAAAGAATCAGATTTCGCTCGTTCATGTGCCTGGTCCTTGGTGGATATCAGATAAATGGCCCAGGACAACAGCTTCAGTGAATCGTACGGCAGCTTTTTATGAGCTTCAGGTAATGAAAGCTTCTTCGGTGAAGCACAATCATCAATGCCGAGAACTGTGAGAAGTAGCGCTGATTGCGTAAAGTGCACCACAGTTTGAACCGCTCAACCCATTCCTCGACCTCGAACGAACTTGCATTCAGGTTCAACTTCTCAATAATTGACAGTTCCATTGCACGATACCAAATATTAACCATCGAAGCATATGCAAATCAGGAATCACAATGGCCCTCAAATCATGGAATCGCACTGATAATCGTCTATGAAAATCTAACCAACCAAAAGCAGGAAAAAATTCACAAAACCAGCGGTTAGTTTACTGAATTGAATAAAAATGATTAAATAAAATACAATAAAAATGACTTATATCAAACAGATTTCAGATATTGCCTTGGCAATCAGCTCCTGGAACTTGCTAAAGTGGTTACCTTTTTTAATATGGACAGGCCCTTCGTTTGTCTTTGATGCTGAAAACAGTTTGGACCTGGTCGTTCATCCCTTTCTTAAGTCACACCAGGATGAGCTGGTATATTCGGTGAAGCTGCTGTCTCCTTTCTTAATGTGATGTATAAAACTGAC